TTTATTGTAGAGATGAGGTCTTGCCAAGTTGCCCAGGTGGGTCTCGAACCCACAGGCTCAGGCAGTTCACTCACCTCAGCTCCCAAGGCGCGGGATTATAGGCTGAGCCACTGAGCCTGGCTCATGATTAACTTTTAACATATTAAACTTTTGTAGATTTATGACTCTATTCTTAGACTTTGCCCTAACCTGCCGATCTATTTGTCTGTCACTGCCAGTACTACACTGCTTTCATTCCTACAGCTCTGAAAGGTACATTGCTAGAAGATATGCCAAAGCTCCCTCTTTGACCTTTCTCGAAATTCTCTTGGCTAGTATTGCACACTTATGCATCTTGGTGAAATCTAAAATGAGCTGTCAAGGGCCATGAAAATCTTGTTGAGACTTTGATTGCAACTACATAGGTTACCTTGGGGAACATTTTTTATCTTTAAAAAACTAGCTCTTCTTCCTATATGCGACCGAGCTCTTTGTTTCTGTGGCCTTCTTTAATAACATGTTTCCAGGTTGACATTCTAAATTAGAAGTGCCAGAGTTGATGTCCAGCTCTGGGAGTCTCCTGGTTCAGGCTCTGGACGGGTCTCTGGGGTGTTTACTCAGGAGGAAAGGTATGGGGCAGCAGCTCAGGGTGAGAGAGAGCAGGGGAAAGAACAAACGTGCCCAGGGGCTCCCCAGACCACTGTGTTGGATTGCAGGTTGCTTCACGGGGAGTGAGGCCAGTCTTAGGTGCTGCTGGGAGTTACAGAGCGCTTTTACCCAGATCAATGAGAATGGAGTTGCAAGTAAGAGACTGGGTGGCCTCTGGCCAAAGCCCAAGCAGAAGATAGATACAGAACTAGAATCCTCAAGTGAAGGAGGCATCCAGCAAGAGAGCAAAGGTGGAAACATAGCCCCGAGGGAGTTGGTTGAAGGGAGGTATGGTCTTTGTTTTTCCTGGGGTGGTGACTGTGAGAAGATTTTAGGGTGGAGAAAAGATTCAGGGCACGTGGCACCCCGGCCTCTTGAGGTGAGCATGGAGGCAGGATGAAGGGCCTCCTTGGGATGTGTGACTCTGGTCGCAGAGACCCTCGTTCATATTTCTGACCTTTGCCCCACTAGGTGCAGGCCACTGTCGTGGGGCTCCTGGCTGCAGTGGCCACTCTGCTGTTGGGTGCAGTGTCTCTGGAGGAGCTGGATGTGGCCAAGGTGAAGTTGCTGTGTGCCAGCAGTGTCCTCACTGCCTTCCTTGCGGCCTTTGCCCTGGGTGAGCCTTGTCTCCGCTTTGTGACTCCTGCCTCAGGACTCCTGCCCTGACCCTGTACCCACCCTCTGCTGTCTCCTCTGAGGCTCTGGGCTTCAGCTCCTGGAGGTGTGAGTGACAGACCACTAGTGGGACGACAGTGGGGCTCTGGCGTTCTACCATGGGAGAGCCATCTGGGTCTTCACAGCTCACCCCGTGCCCTCTCTCAGGCAAGAGTGTGTGCCAGAGAGGGCTGTGGTCACCCTGTCTTCCCATCTGCTTGTGTCAAGGCCTGGCCTTGCTCTGCAGACACCTCGAGCAAGTCACTCTCCCCATGCTGGCCTGACACCAGGACACAGCAGGTGTATTCATCCATTCAGACTGTTAGTCTGTTCGTCTTTAAACACTTATCGAGCACGATTTACGGATTTGCACGCAGATCTGTGTTGGGCTCTGGAGTCTGCAGGCATATTGGGGAGCAAGGCCCAGATTTGAGCTTAAATGTTATCTCTTCAGAGAGAGAGACGTCTCTTATCTTATCTTAGTCTGTTCAGCTGTTATCACAGAATAGCATAGTCTGGGTGGCTCATCAACCACAAATTTATTTCTCACAATTCTGGAGGCTGGAAGTATGACATCAGGGTGTCTGTATGGTCAGGTCCTGATGAGAGCCCTCTTTCAGGTTGCAGACTGGCACGGTCTTGCTTCCTTGCATGGTGGAAAGAGGTGGGGAGCTCTGTGGGACTTCTTTCTTTTTCTTTTTTTTTTTTTGAGTTGGAGTCTCACTCTGTCGCCCAGACTGGAGTGCAGTGGCCGTTCCTGGCCA